TAAGATACACACCAAGAAAGACAGTTTAGATTCCCAAGAATAATTAGAAAGAGTCAAAGATCAATGAAGAGCATAAGACCATTTTGGTTTAGGGAAGTGTAGTATTGTATACAAATAAGATACTGCTATAAAAGCAGAATGCCAGAGCAAATGCCAGTGATGCTACCATCTGTTGACCAGACATCTATTCCAGAGATTACTCTACTTTATAACAGTTAATATTTTAGTTACTTCTGTCTTGAAGAAAAGAAGGGATTATCTGCCCTTGAGGCAGTTGTATCTTGGACAATGTGTATTGAACAGTTTCTGATTACAAACTTGGACATGAGTGTCTTGTTTGGGGGTGGAGGGGCATAGAAGAAAGAAAATGTCACTTCTCTTATCCCAAACATTAAAAATAGTGCAAACAATAACAAAGACTGAAAATTACCTTGTGAAATTTGAAAGTTGCAAATATTTATTAAACTGATACAAAACAATATAACAGAGTACATATTTTACAAAAACAGTTTGAAGAAAACTTTCCTTTTGTGCACCTTATTAAGGGCAAAGCAAGATAACATAATAAAATTATAGAAACAATTTCCTCTAAAAAAGATTCACAATACAATTTTTTTCAAAACATGAAAAAAACTTTGGAAAGGGAAAACAAAAACTGTTGGAAAAAAGAAATTACTCTTAGAAAAAAATGAGTGAAGAAATTACTCTTAGAAGAAAAAGGTGAAGAAATTACTCTTAGAAGAAAAAGGTGAAGAAATTACTCTTAGAAGAAAAAGGTGAAGAAATTACTCTTAGAAGAAAAAGGTGCATGCACCTATAAGAGAAGTGAAAAAAAAACACATGCTTTTTTGACATGAAATCTTTTGCAATTTGTTTCTGAAGTCTCCCTTTTTCAAATAGCCTGAGGGTGCTCTTTATTATTATTCTTTTTCATTGGCATAGTTTTTAAAGATAACAAGACTTTTCTGCTCTTTGTTCTGCTGGCTACTTTCATACTTTCATACAAAGAAGTCTAGACCTTTTCTGCAGCCAGCTTTGTCTAGTTCATATTTGGCAACCAAATCAAGCTAACTTCCATCACATATAACACCCATTCCCTTCTGAAGTCTAACCACCTTCTCTGCACATTCTGTCACTATTTACTGACTCATGTTCTTAAATATCCTTGGGGGTGGATCAAAACAGACCTCAACTTTAAATTTATGATGCCACCCTTTTCATTGGACAAAAAATATGAGACTAATATATTTTTTCTGAATTTGAAAAAAGTAATCCTGTAGCAAACGTGTATCAGTACAGATGCAAAAGAGACCATGAGTCACATGCGAGCATGTCTGTCAAAACTAGTTACATCTAGGTTTTGCCCATGGGCAGCAGGATAACTTGGCATGTCTAGATACAGGCCTCTCTGCAAATTGTCCAGATCCAGGTTTTTATCAACACTTTCATGCTAATAAAAGTGATAGCAAAACCAACAATGGGCATTTGACAAGATTTGGTGTTTTGTGAAGCTGTTCCCTTGAGCATTGTTCCTAAAGTTGTATGCTGCCTACAGTTCTTTGGAGAGCAATCGGGTTGGTGTTTTCCTCAATTACAACACACCCTTGCCATATTTTCCAACATTCCACCATGACAGTTATTTCTGGCAATCCTTTTTAGAGCCAATTCTAAATAAAACACTTTTACACACAACATGAAAACTTTTCTATACTATCTGCCTTTTATTTAATACACTTCAGACCATCTGCTTTTCATTTAATATAATTCAGACTATTTGACATTTATTTACTCATACTTTTTAATTAATTATTATTTTTAATTATTTTATGCGACCTAATAAAAAAACAAATGTACATTTATCATTGAGCGAGGCAGTAGACACTGGATTTTTAATCACTTCATTGTGAGATTTTTTAACTGAATATACAAGGTGCGGTAGAAATACCTCCCACAGAATGGTATATCATTAGCTTGATGAAGATATTATTGTCACTACCCTTATGTGAGAAGTATTTCTGATGCACACTGTATTACTACCAGTCTTGAATAAAAGACAGGATTACCTACCCTTGGGGCAGTAAGAAAGTAGCAGAAAAGATGGCTACTCGATGTTGAATGAACTATCTACTTGGACAAACTGATCATCACTCTATTCAAATCAACTAAAAGATGCAAGATATGCTTAATTATGAATTTAAGAATATAAAATGATGAAAAGACAAGAATTCTTATTTAAACTTAATAAGAAATGAATGATATTCTGGCTAGTACATTGTTATGTTGTCAAAATGACCCTCTGTTATGATGACAATGTATACTTGCTGGATACTTCATCAATGCCAACATAGTAGGACTTTGTAATTGCAGATACCAATTATAATACACCGATGAATAATACTCATATCAGATGTCTTAGAATAATACTCATAATAATAGTACTTTGTATAGTGAAAAGAGAATAGTGGTCCAAATAGTAATAGACTAGGAAAATCAAACACATCAGACATCATGTGACTTCTTCTATATAAGCGTTTCTGCTATGGTCACGTGATCTACCTAGTTTAATGAGATCACATGTGTTTGTTTACTCATGATCTACATTCAGACACAAGTGTCAGTAGTGACATTTTATTCCTATATAACATACATTATATACAAGAAGTTTGTCTTGAATATATTCAACAATTTGCTATTAATGAAAAATATAGCCAACTTAAGACTATGGTGCTTTAGTTTGCATAAAAGTACTCTACGTTTGACATCACACACCTATCCCAGCATCCCTTCCATTTTTCAAAAGTCTGCTACATCTTCTTTTGGGATCACCATCAGCTGTCATATCACTTTCTTCTTCATCCTTGTTTTTGCACACAGTCTAAAATCTCCTCATTTGTCAAAAATGTGTATGAAACATCATTGTGAATGCAATGGTTACACAGTACACAAACTAGCTCAATGATGTCTAACTGCTGATTGAGTAACTTTAAAGAAGAGTCTCTTTGCATGCATGTGCAGTAAGGTCCTCTCTGGTTGTCAAGTTGCATCAAGGCTGTGCAACTGGTTCTTACAGATCACAACAGCTATCAAACAAATTAAATTTAAATTTTTATTATTGCATTATTCCAAAATTTTCACACATCAGCAGATAGCTATTAAATGTCAACAACTGAGCACAAATAGTTATTAATTAAAAAAATTAGTAATTAATGTATAATATTATCAATAACTACATGTACAAGAAGGTTGTTTTTGATAAAAAAATAACCATAAATATGTTAAAAATGTGTATATTGTTGAAAATTCCTTTTTCCATAATATAGCTATTTGTGCTATGTTATAATACTTATTACTTAAACAATAATAATACTGAATAAATTTTTTTTAAACATTCACATCTCCCTAATAACTGTTGTTATCTGTTAAAATATTAAAAATGTCTATAGACTTTTTAGAAAGACTTCATATATCCATTACTTATAACAATATCGCATCACTTTCAATAAAGTTATATCTAGAAAAACATCAGTTTTGGCAACTTATCATTCTTGTGATATCATAAATAATTGTGACATTGGTCTTATCAAAAAAATATTGACTATCAATTAGGTAAAGAGCTAATAAAATTAGAATAATTTATTTTGATATTCTCTTGGATCTGAAAAAAAAAAACAATCTGCAAATTTGGTTTGACATATATCTATCTTCATTTCTTTATGTTCACATTGAATCATTAATAAGCTGGTTCTATGGAAATTCCATGGGTGTTGATAATTAATATTATCCATTATATCCCGCTTCTGCTCATCTCTCACCTTTTGCCTGGATCTTATCATTCCTTTTTTTTTCTAATATTAACTCTATACAAGGCTGAAGAGCCACTTAAGGCTTTAGATGAAGTTTCAGGGAAAATAGAAACAAAAAGGAAACTTAACATTTAGCACTTTGCATCATTTATAAATATTACTTCCCCTTTTACTGTATATGAAATCCCCTCAAAATATAGTGTTTTATATATTATTAGTTCTATATATTTGAAATTGCAGTAGCCTGGCTCTCAATTTCTGTGAAGATTGTTTTAGGTGTTGCTATATAATGATATGACTACACAACAAAGAAATTTCAATTCAATTTGCATTGACAGTATTAACATTTTGCTTGGAGAAAATAGTCGCCAACAGAGTGCTAAAGGTTAACATCAGGAAGAGGCAGTTGAAATTTCTGGAGCACATAATGAGGAAAGATGGCTTAGAAAATCTGATACTCACAGGACAGATTGAGGGAAACAAGGAGAGAGGAAAACTGTGTAATATACTTGATGGACTTGAGTAAATGGATGTTAGAACAGGGTTTGGGAGAAATAGCAAAAGAAAAAATTATTAAGAGCTACAAGGGACAGGAAGATGTGGAGAAGGAGATTAGTAGAAAGAAACAGTAGGTGCATAGAAAAAAGGGCATTTTGGCAATTGTGGGATGAGGAAGTAAACAGGGAAGGGAAGAGGTTATATAATCTTTTTAGTAATGATATAAAAAATAAATAAAAAATAAAATCATTACAATATCATGTGAAAAAATTAAATATTTAAAAGTTAAAAAAATGCTTAAAAATAAAAATTAAAACAAAAATATGAGAGTTGTTTTAAAAAGGTACCAAATGATAGACTCATCACTGCGAAATAAAGACCACATGTCAAGAATTTTTTGTATTTTTATTTTGTTTGGTCCCAATTATCCTTCTAATGTCAATTTGCCATTTAACCTTTTCCCATAATTTTGGTTCAGAAATGATTTTGCAAAGTGCATTTGAATTATGTCAGCAGTTAAAATGGGAAAATGCAATATTGAAATTTGACATGTTTCAGGAGGTAGTTTATAGGAGTAAAGACACTTTAATTTTTTGATACAAGAATTTTAGCTTCTTAACAAAATATAATAGCTACATAATTATTGATCTTATTATAAAATGAATGAGAGAAAGACAGAACAGAGATAAGAAATAAAAGCTAGAGAAAGAGAGGAGAAAAATGGAGGAGAGAAAGGAGGAAGAGGGAAAGGCCAAGAGGGGAGAAAACGAGGAAGAAAGAAAGGATAAACAAATGCAGAGAGAAAAAGGAGAAAGAAAGAGGGGAAAGAGAGATATAGGACAAGTAAAGGCAGAAAGGGTAGAGGAAATAAAGGTAGACAGAAAGTGGGCATAAAGAAAGGCAGAGAGAGGGAGAAAAGTGAAAAAAACAAGAAGAAAGAAAAAGGACAGATAAAAAAGGAGGAGAAAAAACAAGAGAAAAGGATGAGAAAAGATAGGAAGGGAAAGAAGGAGTGAAAAAGGAGTATGAAAATGAAGAAAGGAAGGAACAGAGAGAAAAAAGGAGGAAGGAAGAAAGGCATAGAGAAAGAAAAGTAGAGAGAAATAGAAAAGGAAAGAAAGATAGAGCGAAAGGGAAAAGGAAAGAAAGATAGAGAGAAAGGGAAAAGGAAAGAAAGATAGAGAGAAAGGGAAAAGGAAAGAAAGGGAGTGAAAAGGAAGGAGTATGAAACTGGAGAAAGGAAGAAGGAGAGAGAAAAGGAGGAAGGAAGAAAGGCAGAGAGAAAAGGAAGGGGAAAGAAAGACAGAGAGAAGGAAGGGTAAATCTGAGAGAAACAGGGAAAACAAATAGAAGGAATGAAAAAAAGAAAGAAGGAAGGGGATTTTTATTTCACTCTTCATTCTTACCTTATACCATCATATTCAATATGGCCGAATTCCAAACAAAAATCAAACTCACCTACAATATAAAAAAGATAAAATGTTTTAAATACCAAGGTGTAATTATATATAAATATATATATTACAGAGTGTCATCAAAATGATACAATATCTATTATGATACAAGTTTTATAGTTCAAATCAAAGAAGACAAATGTTGAACCATTTTTAGATATCATAAGTGATCAAACTGATAGCAGTTCTGGTCCAAATACTGTTGACAGCACAGATCAATCAAATTTAGTATTTGGCCACTCCCTATCAATGGTTGCTTACATTTCATTGACTATTGGAAATTAAACCTTATATTTGGGGTGTTCCAAAAAAGTCTCTTCTTGATTTTCAATGCATTTCTGTAGTAAAATCATTATTAATGTATTATGTAATTATTTGAGATGGTGCTGCAAAATGCTCAAACATTCACTTCTCAAAACCTGACAAAATGACCAGATCAGAAGTGCTTCTTGATCAATACAAGAACTTTTCAGTACTTTCTCATAGGTATAATAACCCTATACTGCAAGTAATTCTTGTATTAAATCCTGACCAGTAACAATTCTTTACTTCCTGATTTTCAATGCACAGCTTCTATTTGAGTGGAAATCATAAAATTCAGTGTTTTATCTACTGCCAGAAACATTTTTTTTTACTGTAGAAATTAATAAAGGGAGTGATAAAGTAGCAGTATAATCAGTGATAATATTGTAGAAGGGAAAATGGTTTACTTCCTGGAATAAAACACAGCTAATCCAAAAGCTACAATTTAAGAATAACCTGATTTCATACTTCAGAGATTTTTGCAAGACAAATTTGTGGTTTATTCAAATTTCTGAGCCTCAGCCTACTCAATAAAACAAGCATAAGCTAGAAAACATCAGAGGGGCAGTAGAGGTTGACAAGTTGAGTCATCGTGCTTTGTGTGTGGTGTTTCAAGGTAGTCTCAGCAATTGTGTTTGTAAAAAGACAGGATACAACTAGTACATACCTTTTTGCAACAAATATTATTTAAAACTTACATATGTATAGCATATTTAAATGTGTTGGTACAAAATTACACTTGCATTTATCATTTCATTTCTGAAATACCAGAATTCATTTTGTCAATGTAATCATTAATGAAAGTTTAGATGAAATTATTTGATTAGAAAATCCAACATCTGATATTACATGTTACATAAACAGTGATTAATTAATTATAATTCATTAATTTTTATAACTCAGAATTGTTCATTAAATTTCTGTCACATTTCTATTTTTTTTATCTGGTTTCCTGTTATTTTGAGAAAAGTTATTGTCATTCCAATAGTTGATTAGTCATTTAAACCCATTCTTTGTATTTCTTTTACTGTTACCACCATTTTTCAGATGCTCTATTCTATGACTATCTTTAGATGTACCTTCTGGAATATACCTTCTATAAATTTTGAGATGAGTTATTGTTATCACAAGAGTTGATCACATAATTGAAGCCATTCTTTACATTTCTTTTACCATTACCACAATGTTTCAGATGATCTGTTCTATGTCTTTCTTTACAGGTACCTTATAATTTTGAGAAGAGTCATTATCATTCCAAGAGTTATCCAGGCTATCAAATGTATTCTACATGTCTTTTTTTAACACAATGTTTTGGCTCATCTAGTCATCAGCAGATTTTCTTCAGAAATGCAATCCTTATAGAAGAAGGTTGTAGAATTGATCGGACAAAATGCCAGAGTCATAACAAAAGTAACCAAAAGAAGGTCAATTATTTGAATAACATTTCAAATTTTTCTGTCATTTTTCTTTTAATTCTAATCTTGCTGCTCAAGGTGTCCACTAGATGGAGCTACCTAGCTCTGCAAAGTCATTCTGGAAAAGGTCTAGAAATGACATATAGGTTCCAATTGGGCAAGTGACTAGTGTCTTCAGTTGCTGGTATGCAAGAAAAATATACAATAAATAAATATGCAAGCAATATTTTGTTAATATTTCTCATTGTCTCTGAAAGCAAAATCTATAGCCTTTTATCAAGTTGTATATCATAGTGGTCAATATTTGGATTTCTTTCATGTTTCCAATTTCTCAAATTTACCTTTAATCAAAAACTTTTTGTGTCTTTCCATTGTCTTCCTGTTATTTATTTTACCTTAAGCATTTTCCTCATATATTTGTGACAAAATCTGAAAAAAAATGGAAGAAAGGGACACCTATTCTTTCCTCTTTCCATAAATATAAATTGCAAAGGAAGATGAATAACTGGCCTAAAAAATATCAAGTGTCAGAACAATTCTTTGAAGAGAAAATTATATGTTATATTATAACTCTATCATTGAACCTATGTTGTTCCTAATTTTCATCAATGACATTCCTGATATCAACAATTCTCAACTTGGTATATATATATATATATATATATATATATATATATATACTGATGGCACAAGTATTTACACTTGTCTTAATTGTAAGTCTGATCAGGTCAATATGGTTAAATTAGGTACCTCCATGAGATTGCTAAAAAAAGAGCATAGCACGATGAAAAAAATGCCAAACTTGACAAAAACAAAATTTTATTGTCTAATTGTTTATGTTATTATTAAGAGGAAAGATCAAAGTATTTTTGGGGTATTTTTTTTACATTTTTTAATCGTTCCTAGCATGTCCAAAATTTTTGTTAAAAATCTTGTTTTTTTTTGAGTCAGCAAAATTGACCATTTTTTTCCATTTTGTAAAAAACTTGAAATCTCACTTTGAAATTCTTTTACATATCAATTATCATTTTTTCAAAACTTATTTTAAGAAAATCAGAAATTATAATGTTTATTTAAAATATTTTGAACCAAGCTTAACTTAGCTTATGTGCCAAAAAGATATATTCTAAAAATAAAACAAAGCAGATCATAAACTTTCACATAACTTGACAGGTGATGAATGACATATTGACGGATTCCGTGAGGATAATTTGTTCTACGGAAGGAGAAAAGTGAAATCATTTACATTTAAGTGAACAAATTATTTGCCTCGTTATTATTAAGGAAAACTTTCAGCGCTCTAAATTTTTTTTTTGTACTTAGCTTTCACCTTTATGTTTACAATGCTTTATGGAAAATATATTATAAAGAAATTAAAATTAGACTGTTAAGAGTTAGATTAAATTTCATAAGAAAGGTATCTAATTAATTTATAGGTACCTTTCTTATGAAATTTTATCAGAAGTGTATATAAAATACTATAATTTTATGTACATTTATTACATTTTACTGTATTTCCATTCATTTTATTATTAATTTTGATATTTCATTTATGGAAAAATGTCATAACTGAGATTAATATAAAAATAAGATCATATAAATTTCATAAGATGATACTGATACTTGTAGATACCCTTCTCAGTTGAAATTGAAAAATCAAATTAACTTCTCCACATGTGTTTCGCAAAAGTAAAGGCCTTAACAGCGGAGAACAATGCTTAACTCAAATAACACAACTTAATTGTATTCTAGTTGGTCTTCTGTACTTTATAATTACAGCCTGATTATAAACACAAAATTACATTTCTTAATTACTGCGGATCTTCTGATTAGTCAAAATGATACAATTTACAATGCGCTAAGAAAAGATCTATCTCATAGAGAGACTTAGGAAACCCGATGCAGCTTTTAACTAATTTTATAATACTTTAACAACTTAAATATAAAAATCTATTATAATTAAAAAATAACAAATAATTGTATTAAAAATTAATTTTTCATCGAAAAAATTTTTTGCTTTCAGAAAATATTGTCCTTATTCATAAAAACAACTAAAAGCAAATAAAAGCATTTGAAATTAAATAATATATTTGTTTTATTGAGTTTTGTATGTTACAATTCAGAGCTGATTTTCAGGTCGGGGGTTCCAATTAAAAACAAAAAAAAAACATGATTTGCATTCCTCAAAGCCTTGTGCTTTTAACTATTGTAATCACTAAACCCGATGCAATCGAATTTCTAGCGTTTTCATAAAATTAGTTATGGGTGGGGTAATAAATATAAAAAAAATATTTCTGCCATGACTTTAATAAAAAAAAAAAAAAACCCATATTTATAATAATTTCGATCATCTGTGAATAGTTCCTGAAAGTTTCATTAACATCCGACAATTATTTTTATTTTTGCTAGATTTTCCAAATTAATGTGTATCATACAAAAAAAAGGTGCTAAAAATTGTATATGCTATTTTACTAGTCCCAGTGATACAAAGAGAAACAAGGTTTTTTTTTAATCAAAATTTAGAATAAAGGAAAAATTTTAAAAACTAATTAAAAAAAACTTTGGTCTTTCCTCTTAATAATAACATAAGTATTTAGACGATAAAATTTTGTTTTTGTCAAGTTTGGCATCTTTTTCATCATGCTATGCTCTTTTTTTAGCGATTTCATGGAGGTACCTAGGTTAAATTTGCAGTTGATCTAAAAAGAAAAATGACCTACAATCCGTTGTTAACTGGGGCAAGAAATGACTTGTCAATTTGATTCCTCCAAAACAAAACTGCTCTCTTTTAATTGTTTAAGAGAAACATTTTTTTTGCCTTCTATCAGCATGGCCAATGCCAACCACCAGAAGAGTAACTCCATGCACTTTCTCAGGCTAACATTTTCTGCTGACATGAAGTAGAAAGATCATATTGAATCAATTGCTAGGAAAATTGGTTCACTGTGTCATACTAGAGAATTTTTCTTGCCAAAATCTATCTTACACATTTGAAAAATACAAAGAATCTGCAATGTTATTGATCCTGACTTGGCATCTCAGATTCACTTTCTCATCATCATAACATTGCTGTCCTGTGCCTTTTTCATAAATATTTTCATGGTAATTATTCTGATCAGCTTTCCTCTTTCATGGCGGGACATTACAAATTTAAGCACAATACTGGATTACTGGCAATGTCTTATCATTTTACAGTTGAAATTGCTAGATGCAACTGTAAGTTCTATGTTAACAGTTCCTTCTCTTGTACTTCTTGCTTATGGAACTCTCTTCTAGCTTTTTGCATTCCAGTTACCTGTGATCTTCAAAAATTTAGATGCAATGTCAAGTGTTATCTTTTGTCCTTGTAATAATGTTTTATTTTTCTCATATTCTCTCATACTCAGTAATCCTTTGCATCTTAATGGCTTTATTGGCTTGCTTTTGAAAAATGCAGTGTAAATTTTCAAATGGTTTTTGGCAGAGTTTTTAAGACAAGAAAGTACAATAAGAATCTGAAACAATGTGTTCTATATTAGTTAATGGGTATTAGCAGAATGTGGAATAACATACAAACAAAAGTGGAGATAATGAAACAAAGTGGAAATGCTATTCAGATAATGTTTAGCTCTTTATAGCAGGTATTCACTACCATATAGGAGGAATGAGATTATGTAATGTTTCGGTACTCTTTGTTTCTAATGAAATTTTCATGTTTCTTAATACTTTGCTTAGCTTTTGGAAGGCAGATTTCAGTGTTGTGCTTTCTGTCTTGTTATAACATTTCCAAGATATTTAACTAATTGTACTTGTTTGATTTTGGTATTTCCAATTTGTAATTTGCATGTTGGGCTGTTCCTTTTGCTTACAACCATATATTTTGCATTCCTGCAATTGATATTTAGTTCTTTCTTCTTACTTTCCTTCACTACATTCTCTCGGAGTTTTTATAGTTTCTTTTTCATGTCTACCATCAAAACTGTGTCTTCTTTATATCTTATGTTGTTAAGATTGTGGCTGAGAGTAATGAATCCTGGTAGGACTTCTAATTCTCTCAGAATCGCCTCACTGCATAGATTGAATAAGTCTCATGAGAAAGCACATACTTGTCTTACACCTCTTTCTATTTTTGTATATTTACTGAATTCATTTTCCATCTCTATGCAGACAGTTTGCTGCCAGTATAAATTCTGGATTATTCTAATATCCTTCTCAAATATGTCAAAATTCTTCAATACATGGGAAAAATAACTTTCTAGCTATAACATCTGGTAAGGACATGGATTACCTCTTCCTCAAATTCCAATGCACTTTTCTTATACAAGTACTGTATGATATTTTTGACATACCAACATCCCAAGAATTCATTGACTGTACAAGTATGATTACCAGAAAATTGAAACATAGAGAAAAACTAGAGGTTGACCCAAAATGAAAGAAATACAAATTTCAGTAAGTGGTGAACTCACCAGAAAGAGGAGTGAGGGGTGAATACTAAGAAATAAAAAAAATCTCAAAAGTGGGGATGTTGTGGAGTAAATAAGACACTCTCTGGTAACACAAATGAACTAGGCAAGATGCCTTAAATAAAGAACTCAAGAAAGCCTGTTGGAGTCAGTTGAGGAGAATTTGTAATGATGTCACCAGTAGCCTAAGCAAGACTTAACAGGAGCATGTTATAACAAATGAATAGTGAGTTTGATCCTTACTGAGTGCTCCACACTTTTGGCCTTGTGCTATGTCTAAGCTATGCTTAGAAAACCAGCATACCAATTCAAGAGTCTGGCAAAGATATCCACAAAAAATACAGATGGATATCATACCAATAATTACTGCTTTTTGAATTGACTGATTTGTTTTCTTACAAACCCTTTGCAGGTTATTTAAAGCCAGAAAATATTTTTGGATTGCAAGAATTTTTGGACAATAATAATGATTTACTAATGCAAGTCCTACTAATTAACTCATAGCTAAGCAGAGAAGCAGTAAATTCCTAACTTTCCCAAGGACATTTGCAAGTAAGTGAATATAATGAACTGGAATTGGAACTCAGCTCCCTGATTTCCAATTCCAAGCCATTATCCATTAAACCACCTGCACATCCAAGCTTTCAGCACCTGATATTCCCAAGCAGTAACCCATCGAGGTACTGACAAAGCTAGATGTTGCTTAACTTCAGTGATCACAGAAGAACCAGTGTTTCAACATGATACGGCCATAAGCCTGCTGCTTTCTGAATAAAAACATGACAATGCAATGTAAGTTTTAGAAAGTATATAAATACTTTTAAATATAGCTTAAATGTTTTTATCTTTTCTACCTTTCACTAAATGTTCACAAAGCTCGAGTGCCACTCAATGTAGAGGGTTACTAAATGAGGTTGTTGTATGGACATAGAAAGGAGAAGTAAGTGCAAATTATGAAGATATGAAGGATAGGTTATGGTTGACCATAAACTTGAAGAGGTTGAAGCAGTAGTTTTTAGGGAAGCATCCACTTGGGAGTTTTTTTTCATAGAATAGCAGTTCTTTGCAAGAAGCTATCCAAAATGAACTTCCTTCTTACTAATGGAATACAAAGAGAATGAGAATGGTTCATCCTTGTCTATATGGCATGGTGGGTCTTGGCTGTGAAGGTCTGAACTGGTGGAACTAAGGAATGTAGCTCATCAGAACATATACCATGGAAAATTGTTAAATTGAGTGTGATAATATGCTGTAGCACTATGACTAGGAAAGATTTTATAAGTACATGAAATATATAATCAATGTTTGGTCATTGTAGTGATATGTAAATGACTACCTAATTAGCATAGCTAAGGCATAGAGACTATGTAAGTGGCTGAGCTGTAAAGGGAGAGGCAGAATAAGATATGTGAGATTAACAATTAACGCTGAACTGAGAAAATACGAAGGAAATCACATTTCATAACAGCCATAATAGAATTAACCACATAAAATCCTGGAAAAGTAAATTTGGTTAACTTGGATTTTACAAGTATGTTAAACTACCTAAGCAGTAAATTCAAAAAAATTTTTGACAAAATATTGTAATTTGCTTCATTTAGAACAAAGACTAGAATAAAGAAACACTAATATTTTTTGCAAAACCCTGAATTGAAACATACATTTTTACTGGTGTGATGCCAAAATTCTGGCTAGCAAAAGAAAACTTAGAGGAAGAAAAACAATTTTGACAGGTGATTGATTATAGGTCTATATCTATACTTCCACCAAACAGATGGTCTTTAAGATTTGGGGAAAAAAGTTAAGAGTATTTCATATTATTGAAAGGCATCAGGTTCTTATTCACCTGAGAAACAGAAGCGTCAATGGTTTGAATGATGAATTAATAAATTTCAATAATTGCTTATGCAGAAAATGTTAAACAGAAGTTTTCTTAGCTGCCACTTCTCATTGGCTAAAGGTGGAGGATATAAGAATCATGACTCCACCTAATTAAGTGAATTATACCAATGAAATGATGACATCACAATGTGGGAACTGGATAGAATAGCAACCAGCCAAAATTTGAGCTAGTTTGGGAAAGGACTGATGGAGAAATAAAAATCATTAATCAAACCTGCTGAGGGTGCCAGACTCCACCCATCTATCTAACACTTCTCAATATATCTTTGTTTTTGGCCCTCAGGCAGTTGCAGAATCAATCAATATGATTGCGGTTTGAGATACCAACAAACCCTATCAACATGCTGCTTGGCAACTCTCTGTAAGATGGAATGATTTGGAAGAATAGCAGAAAACAAAGAAATTCTAACTTAATAGTTTCCAACTTATAAATTGAAATTCAGAAGTTGACAACTACTTTCGGTTGAAGTTCTGATGCCAACTGTTCCACACCAGCTCTTTTGCCACTACACATTCTTTGTCCTAGTGGAGAATAGTCAGTTAGCCAATCAACTGCAGATAAAGACACAGCATTACAACCAGGAAAGGGTTAAATCAATGCTATAACCTTTACTGAATAAACACAGTGTGTTTATGTTTTGCACAGGTGTTTTCTCACCATTTTTTATTTTGTTAGTTTTACTTTTTCTCATGATAAAGTACAATCAACTCAAAGGACATTTCTATCAGTCCTGTCAAGAGACTTCATCAGTTTAAAAATACATAATATGAGTGGAGAGGCTGACTGAAAGAGTGGGACCAAGTTAATGAGATGATAGACTTGTCATAACACACACACACACACACACACATATATATATAAAATCATAAAGGAACAATTTATACAAAGAATTAAATAGCAATGTGAATGTGATTCATGGCGAAATCACTTCGCTAACAAGACTTAATAAGACATTAACTTACTATCAATTCCTTCAATAATAAGATCCTTATATTTGAAATTGTTGAAAGTACTTGGCATGGGTCTTCCATGTGACAACAACTCGAATATAATATATACAGCCATGCTTAGAATATTGATGACACATATGGTCCAGTGCTTCTGCTATATACCTAGAGATTCTTGATAAAATCCAAAGAAGAATCAGCAATATTATTGGTCCTGATCTTGTGTCTCTGCTTCAGTCACTTTGCCACCACTGTAAAGTTGCCTCCCTGTGCCTTTTTTATAAATACTTTTTTTTTTTTTTTTTTTTAAGCATTGTGCCCCAAGCAAGGCGTGAAGCCACTAGGATACAGGGGGTTTGGAGCGAGAGCAGATAAGAGTGATAGGAGAAAGGAAGAGGAGAAGGATAGTGGGTAGATCAAGGTAACTGGAGATGTCGATTGACATTACATTTGAATAGTTGGAGATTATAGCTTTCAGGGAAACAGTAATTGGGGAGGGTGTTCCACTGGCGAGAGGTGCGAGGTATGAAGCTATTGGAGTAGAAGAGACGGCTACATTTGAAGGTTTCTATGGTGTAAGGGTGAGAGCGGGATGCCAGCCTCGTAGAGGGCGCTTGAATTCATGGAGTCTGGGAACCAGAGAGAGCAGCTCATCAGAGCAGTTACCATGGAAGTATTTGTAGAAAAGACAGAGAGAGGCTCTGGCGCTGTCTGTGAGAGAGTGACTGCAAGCAAGACGCTAGATCAGGGCCAATTAGATTACATATCCTTCTCTGGATCTTGTCGAGAACTCCGAGGTAAGCAGAAGGTGCTCCAGCCCATATATGGCAGCAATACTCCATGCAAGGGCGAATGGTTGTTTTATATATTTGAAGTATCGAGTCAGGGGAAAAAATTTCCTGGCTCGGCACAGAGAGCCAACTTTCCTCATGTGGAAGAAGCAATTGACTCAATGTATTTGTTCCATCTCAGGTCAGCAGTCAGCGTGAGACCGAGCAGACGCAGGGAGTTGCTCTCAGGAAGTTGACTATCAGACATTTTAATGGGGGGCAGGGAAGGATCTCTATGGTGGTTAATGGAGAGTAATTTAGTTTTAGTGGCGTTAAAGTTGACCAGCCAATTCTTGCCCCAGTTAACAACCGATTGGAGGTCCATTTCAAGACACACGGCCAGGTTCCATGTTAATTGTTTGGATAAGCTCTTCGCTATGGAACCTAAACATTTATGAATATAAACAAAATTCTAGACTGGCGACAAGGTCTCATATTGATATACACTTGAATTGGCCATAGATGTAAATGTAAGTTCTATGCTAAAATTTTCTTTTCTCACTTGTGGAACTCTCTTCTAGCCAACTTTAATCTTCAAATATTTATATGCAATGTCAATCACTATCGACAGTCCTCCTAATTACACTTTTTTCATACCCAGTGTCTTAGTGGCATTACTGCTTTGCTTGGGGTGAACATGATAAAAAGAAAATTCCTTTCTGTCATGGTAGAAAGAGAAACACGTCAACTGATCTTCCCTTTTAATTCCTATCTATATCTCTCTTTGTTTTCTACCTTTTGAACATATTCTTTCACATATAGGCTGTCCAGTGCTTCTGCTATATACCTAGAGATTCTTGATAAAATCCAAAGAAGAATCAGCAATATTATTGGTCCTGATCTTGTGTCTCTGCTTAACATTTATTAATATAAGCATAATACTTGACTGGCGACAACTGATCTTCCCTTTTAATCCCTATCTAGATCTCTCTTTGTTTTCTACCTTTTGAACATATTCTTTCACATATAGGCCATCCTGAGTAAGACGTTAAACTACATCCAGCAGCAAGGCCTCTGATCAGGAGGTTTTGAGGAGCGTGGAACTACCTCTTAATTGCTGGTGTTTCCAGGTCCACCCTGACCTGGGGTGGTAGCACCTGTTAGGGTCTCAGCTATGGGCAAATAGTTAACTATTACCAGCAATACTTTTTTGAAACAAATTATTACCAGCAATACAATTTTGAAGGAAAGATATTACCAGAAACAGATTTTTGACAAAACAAAATATTACCAGCAATAAAAAAATTTTTCGCCATTAAATAACCCATTATGGTTGATATGCCGTAAAACAAAATAAACCAAACCAATCTAAACCAAAGAATACATATTCTATTCATACAAATCTATCCTAAATGTTGTTGGCATTAAATAATCCATTGAGGTTGATATACCGTAAAACAAAATAAACCAAACCAATCTAAACCAAAGAATACATATTCTATTCATACGAATCTATCCTAAAAATCTTGTCGGCATTAAATAATCCATTGAGATTGATATGCCGTAAAACAAAATAAACCAAAATCAAACCAAATTTTCACATATAGGAAATGTTTAACAGCATAATAATCATAATTCATAATGTAGATTAATTTCTAAGTGATTATATAATGTGGTGAAAGAGAAAGTCACTTCCGGAGAAAAAGGGCATATGTGTTCTGTACAATATGCCAAAGACAAAATAACCAAAATAGAAATACGTCGGTGGCAACTATTGCCATAAATGCATCTCAGATATGCTAATATTGTCTGTCTTCTTCAACAGTCAACCAATGAAAAAAAATGATCCTTCTATAAAAGCAGTTGGTGTTCTCGGCTTGTGAGTGACTGTTGTCTTGTATGTTGGATTTCTAACCATTTACATGTATTGGGATTTTTGACATTGGACATGCGATTCGTGATTTCAACATTTCTTTCTGCCTCTGGATCTTTGAGTTTGGACTTGAGATTTCTTTATTTCCTTTTGTAATTGAGCTGCCATATCAATTTCTGAACATATAATATTGCTGGAAAGTCTTTAAACAACATGCATCTGCAAATTTTTGTCTTTGTTAAGACTGCTGAGTTCAAGGAGGTAGAGACAGGTAACTCTTTATTGATATTTCAGAACAGAGGATAGAAAATATGACATTCCATTTTCTTAATCTAAGCTGCTATCCATTGTTCTACCATGCCTCCACCAGCCATGACTTTATGTATTACATAATGTTCTCTTTTTTGTAATTTGTGCCTTGTCTTCATTTTGTCCTCTGCACTCTGCTATGACTAATACCTACTTTCCAGTGATGTGATTTAGTCTCTGTGGTATTTTTTTTTTTTTTAAGCATTCAACCCCAAGCAAGGTGGGAAGTCATTAGCATGCAAAGGGTTTCAGAGTAGGAGCGAGAACAAAGAGGAGTGATAGAGAAAAGGATGAAGAGACAGTTAGGGGATAGATCAGGGCATCTGGAGACGTCGATTGATGTTACATTTGAATAGTTGGAGATTATAGTTATCAGGAAAACAAGAAATGGGGAGGGAGTTCCACAGGTGAGGAGTATGAGACATGAAGCTATTGGAGTAGAAGAGACAGCTACATTTAACAGTTTTGACAGTGAATGGGTGAGAGCAGGATGCCAGCCTAGTTGAGCGCTTAAATTCATGAAGTCTGGGAACCAGCGAAAGCAGCTCATCGGAGCAGTTACCATGAAAGTATTTGTAAAAAAGGCAGAGGGAGGCAACGACACATCTGTGAGAGAGCGGCTGCAGTCCCTATTGTTCTATTCTTGGTCTATACCTATCAAGAAAAAAATAAAAATATGGTAGTGAACTGTTGTTAATAAAAAGTAGAGTTTGCATATAAGATGTTTTGATAAGACCGTTGTAACATTTCTTTCTCTCTTTCCAACTCCATATCAAGGAAACTCTTTAATATGAGAATAAATGATAATTTTTGGTGGATTGGGGGTAAAGTTCTTTATCAGGCACCCTAGTGCTGCTTAATCACCATAAAGTGTCATTGAATAGGAGAAAAGTTTGTTGGTAGTTTGACATGGCCACCATCTTAAGGATTCCTCCAGCTAACCTTAAAGCTGAAGGAAGAATTAAAAAAGGTGAAATTGGATCAGAAATGTTGCTGGTAAAATTGATAAAATAGAAAGAAAAAGGTAGAGTTTCAAAACTGATGTTAAAACAATTCATTTTGATTTTTAGGTGGCTTCTTTAAGAACATTTGAAAAGGATGACAGCATGGTGGAATCCTTCTAACAGAGGAAGATTAAGGTTCGTCTGCTTCTGTTTTGTTGTAATCTGTTTCTTCAGACATGTCCTGCTTTATAAATTGCAGAATAGAGTTCTTTTTTAGAATAAAAGAAAAATTTTAAAAAAAATTGATGCAGAGGTTAAGAATCAGCAACATGAAGAAAGAGAAAACATATGAAACTAAGAGGGTGTGAAAGAGGAGCAAAATAGCTGAGAAAGAGAGGCCAAGAGGGTGATAAAGAAAAGTAAAGAGAATGAGAAAGAGAATTAAAGAGAGTAAGAAAGAGAGGTAGAGTGAGAAAGACAAGCAATGAGAGAGTGGGAAAGAGAGGCAAAAAGAGTGAGAAACAGGGTGACAACGAGAATGAAAGATAAAAACAGTAAAAAAAGAGGGGCGAATAGAGTAAGAAAGAGAGACGGAGATTGTGGAAGAGAGGCAAAGTGGGTGAGAAAGAGAGACAATAGGTGAGAAAAACAAGAGAGGGGAAGAAAGAAAAAAGTGGAACAAAAACAGATGTAAAGAATATAATAGACAGATAGAGTTCTAAGAAAAGAGATAGAGAAGATGAAAACAGTATAAGTTGAGAGAGAGAGAGAGAGAGAGAGAGAGAGAGATGAAGAGAAGTAAGATCAAAAGAGAAAAGGTTAAAGAGAAGGTATTTTTTTTTTAAATCAATTTACTCCAAGCAAGGTGATAATGCCACTAAGGTGCAAGGAGTTACTAGGAGTGAAAGAAAATAAGAATAATATAGAAGGAATGGAAACCCAATCTGAAACAGGAAACAAGGGATAAATCTCAGCTTCTGTTCAAAAGACCAGGGAGGAGTGTGAATTAGGTGATAGGCAAACCTATTTACTCCTATTAATGAACAGAGATGTTGAGAGTGAAGAGAGAAAAAAATAAATAAAGGAGAACATAAAAGAAAAAAGAAGGTAAATCAAGAGAGAGAGAAAGAAAGAAAGAATAATTAAGATATGAAAAAGAAAGGGAAAGAGAAAAAGATAAAGAAATAATAATTAATCAGAGAAAGAAGAGATTGATGAAGGAATAAAACATAAAACAAAAGACATGAGAATGGAAGGAAAATTTTGACAGATATTCATAATAAAATTAGGTCAAATAGATCATCATTAACAGTAGTTAGGATCTTAGAACTCTCAAACCTATGAGCAAGCATCAATTATAAAAAAAAAACAATAACAACAAAAACACACTTGACTTGGAAAATGTAACAAAAGCAAAAAAATAAAATAAAAATAAATGAAAATTGTGATAACAGCAAAAGTTGTTTAAAAGTGATGAAACAGTTCTGAAATCAAGGTCCAGGCAAAAAAAAGAAAGAAAAAAATGACAAAAAAGGAAAGAAACAAAGAATGAAGAGGAAGTTGATAAAAATGGAGGCAAAATTAAAGTTAAATAATTTCACATGAACCCAGGCTGATCATTTTTTATGAGAATGAAGAACAAATGAATGAAATAAGAAAAGATAAAGAAAAAGAAAAGAGAAAAAAATTCTTATATGAAAGATAAAAGAAAAAAACAAATATTCAAATGAATTACAAATTTATATAAAAATTTAAGAACAATAAGAAAAAAAAGAGAGAAAAAGAAGAAAATGGGAGAGAAAGAAAAAAGAAAAAGGGAAAGAAAGAAAAAGAAGATAAAAGGGAGAGAAAGTAAAAGAAGATAAAAGGGAGAGAAAGTAAAAGAAGATAAAAGGGAGAGAAAGAAAAAGAAGAAAAAACAGAGAGAAAAAGAAGAAAAAAGGGAGAGAAAAAGAAGAAAAAGGGAGAGAAAAAGAAGAAAAAAGGGAGAGAAAAAGAAAAAAAGGGAGAGAAAGAAAAAAGGGAGAGAAAAAGAAGAAAAAAGGGAGAGAAAGAAAAAGAAGAAAAAAGGGAGAGAAAAAGAAGAAAAGTTTTTGTGAGAAACAGGCTCTTAGAAAAGAAAATAGAATGAAAAACAAAAAACTTTAAGAAGGAAGAAAGTGAAAATAAAATGTTGGGGAAGAAAAGTAAGGGAAAGAGAAAAAGTATGAATGAGGAGAGAAAAAGAGTGAGAGTTTATAGAAAAGTTGAGAAGGAATGTTTAGGGGGAAGAAAAAAGAGTCTATGGAGAGGTAAAGAATATATCTAAGAAGAGAAAGAGAGAAAGAGTCATGGAAGGGAGAGAGCAGATGTGAGGATGAGGAGGAAGAGACAAAGAAGTATAAAGAAAAGAGTGGTATACCAAAATAAATTGAATAAATCAGAGAGAGAGAGAGAGAGAGAAATAATTCAGAGAAAAATAAAGAGAAAAGAGAGAGACAGAGAAAACAATTCAGGGAAATAAAGAAAAGAGAAAGATGAGAGAGAGGGAGACAGAGAAAAACAGATCTGTGAAGAGAGGGAGAGAGAGAAAGAGAGAGAGAGAGACAAAAAAAACAAATCAGGAAAAATAAAGAGAAGAAAGAGAAAGTGAGAGAGAGAGAGAAAGAGAGGGACAAAGAATACAAATCAGGGAAAAATAAAGTGAAAAAAAGAGGGACAGAGAAAACAAAACAGAGAAAAGAGACAGAGAGTGAGGAAGAGAAGCCAAAGATTTGAGGAGGAAAAAGATTGAGAAAAAATAGCAATTAGAAAAAGAGAAAGAGTGTGAGAGAGGAAAGAAATCCAAAGAGAGAGAAGAATTGTCTGAGACAATAGTTGAACCATGAGATCATCTATTTGTGCCATGCAGTAATACAGCTGGAATGGGAAGAATCGTCACTGGCACAACAACATGCTTCCTCCCTCCTCATTCCCCTTGTACGATGATGAAGAAGTTGTTCTTCTACAGCCACATGCTCCATCATCAACAAATTTTTCAGTCAGTGCAGCTTTATTTGAAACAAGGAAAATTTATACACTTTTTGAAGCAGCCTAAACTAATGTGTATTTTAGTTTTCACTTTAAGGAACAGTAAAAAAGAAAAATTCAAACACCCTGCATACAAAACGTACAGGAGAGAAACTTGGCTATGCAGTGAACAACATGTAGCTATGCCAAACATCCTAATAGCAGTGGGAAATTTCAAAATATTTCCACTTCTTAATTAACTTTTTACAAACTTATGTAATATTCTACATATATCTTTTCATAATCTTCACTCACCTGAAAGTTATTAAGTACTGGTTGTTATCTTCTCATCTACCTTGTGTGTGGATAGTGGCTCAGAATGAGAAATTGGAGAGCTGAGTTCAAATTCCATTCAAGTTTGTTACATTTACTTACATGCATATACTTCTGTGAAAGGTATGAATCTAGCTATTCTACCCCCAGCTATGGGTTAAATAGTAAAACTGGAAAAATTATTGTTATCTCCAAAAAGTTGTTAATGCAATATTCCTTAACAAGCAAAGAACTATTCTTACAATCCAAAATGTTTCAACTTTAAATAACCTACAAAGTGTTGATAAACTGGAAAAAACAAATCAATCTACTTTGTGCTTTAAACCATCATTCTTGGTAGTTGATCGTCATCTGCTTTTGGATTTAATCTAAAAAAAAAATATTACTGCCATTAAAATGATTAAACCAGTTTTGAACAGTACAGTCAGGTATTGATTAATTTCCTTTAGTATCTGTCTGTATTTCTGAGATGAGGTATTATGTACACTATTTACATTATTATTATTATTATTTTGGAGAGGGGAATTAACAAGCGATAACTGACATCCATTAGACATGGCATGTGGAACTAGAACAGTCTACCCCAGTGAGTGAAATACAGGGTTCAGTTCGACATTCCAACCACCTAAAGAAGGCCGGAGCATACAACGGCCAAAAATGTTGTAATAAATATGGTGACAAAGTTGAGGACAATAGTCTGAATAATGTAAATAGTGTAATTTCCTTTAACTTTTCAAATTCTGAGAGTAGTAGCTTTGATGCCCATTTTAAAATCTTACTTATTATAAAACGCAGATTGTGTGTGTGTGTGTGTGCGCGCGTGTCTGTAACGTTTATATATTGGATCGGATTTCCTACATTTTTCAACCGATTTCAACAAAACTTCACAGGACTACATAAAATTACCTTGTGGTGGTTCTAACAGTGCCAAAAATGGGAAAAATACAATTGTTTTTGCACAAAATCAATTTGAAAACACGATTAAGAAACATCGTGAGAATGAAAGGGGGACAACTCACATCGGGTTGTTTGTGTGTGTGTGTGTGTGTGTTCCTTTAAATATGGGATCACATTTCCTACATTTTTCAGCCGATAAAACAAAAATTCACTTTTTATTTTTTTGGCAGGTAGTGTTTCTTATTCTCTTGCACACTTTTTTCTTTATTTTTAATATTCAAAATGCTTTAAAAATTCCATTTACAAGACAATTGTTTATAATAAAATTCTATTCAATCGGTAGAGACTCATAACGATTGAAAACAATGTTTTTGTTTGAGTTTGGGTTTGACCAATTCGTAAAAAAAAAAAAAAAAAAAAACTAATTAAGACATGCGTGTCCGTCAACCTTAAACAATAATCTTTGTCAATTTTCTTTTTCAGTCTTTATGATGGTGGATACTTGATCTATCTCTTACTGTTATATCCCCGGGCAACGCTGGGCTCTACTGCTAGTAATATATAAATGTCTCAATACTTTTATATGTCTTTATAACATCTGCAACAACAAATACATCTGAATAGTATTGACAATGGTATAATATATATAATAATATATAAATATTTCAATACTTTTATATGTCTTTATAACATCTGCAACAACAAATACATCTGAATAGTATTGACAATGGTATAATATATATAATAATATATAAATATTTCAATACTTTTATATGTCTTTATAACATCTGCAACAACAAATACATCTGAATAGTATTGACAATGGTATAATATATATAATAACCAAAAATATTTCTCTTGTCAGAATCCATCATGCACATTTATAAATCTACCATTCATTTATCCGTGTATTGAATACTGTTGTGGCCTGTTTAGAGGCCAGAAAGAAAGACACGGAAGACAAAGGTAGGTTGAACAAGTGTATTGAAAATACAGATATATACAAAGCAAGAGTGTTAGTAATAAGCAGATAGAAGTGTCCGTCCGAACGGCCAGGTTACACTGAGTCTCAGCTACTCACGGTTCTCCTACGAATCTACCCTAGGAAGTCTCGCAGTTAGTATTTATAAGAGGAGGAAGAGTTCATTCTACTGTAGGAGGGTTTATCATGACAAATACTGTTGCTATATCTGGTCTGGTGTTCCTCCTACTATGCATCTCTAGATTCTTGACAAAATCTAGATAAGGATCTGTAATACAATTGGTCCTGACCAGGGATCTAATCACCAGTCACTTTCTAATTAATGTGACATGGATTCCCACTGGCTGTTCTGGAAATATTTTCATGGTAACTGCTTAGATGATTTTTTTTTTTGTGCTCCAATTATATATATTTAAGCATGCTACTAGATTGACAACTAGGTCTCATTGCATTACTGTTGAACTCGCTAGATGCAACCATCATTTCTACTCTACTAGTTTTTTTCTCACACTTCCCACCTGTGGAATTACCTTCCGATTTTCTTGCTTCCCTGATAACTACATTCTTCATAAATTTAAATGCAATGTCAGTTGCCATCTTCTGTCTTCTTGATGCCCGTTCTTTTTTTGCCCTTTCAATATTCTCATTCACTTTCATTTCCTGTAAACCCTGTGTTCTAGTAGCACTGTTGCCTTGCTTGGGGTGAAATGATTAAAAAAAATATATAAAATAAGTATTGACTATCAATGTATACATGAAATAAGCTTTGGAGTAAAGGTCTGGAAAAACAAAAATACTTTTGATACATCCTGATATATAATTATAATGTTAATACTCTAGTGGGGTCATAGATAATCTTTAAATTTATATATGAAATAATCTTTGCAGTAAAGGACTGTAAAAATTGAAAATACTTTTTTAATACATTCTAATACATTATAATAATAATATAATAGTTGAGACATAATCTTGAGATGTGTACATGAAACAAGCTTTACAGTAAAGGTCTGGGTTTTTTTGTGTTTTAATCATGTCATCCCAAGCAAGGCAATAAAGCCAAGAAGATGCAAGGGGTTACTGATTATGAGAGAATATGAGAAAAAGAAAACATTAAGAAGTGAGAACATTTAAATGAAACAGGAATTAAAACAAGATTGGCACTGCATTTAAATTTTTAAAGAACAAAGCTGACTGGAAAGCAAGAAGCTAAAAGAGAGTTGCACAACTGAGAAATGCAAAAGAAACTCTTAGTATAGAACATCTAGCCATTTCAACTGCAAAATGGTGAGACCACTAGTAGTGCACTTAAATTCATAAAATCTAAATACCAAAGAGTAAAGTTCATCAGAACAATTACCATGAAAATATTTATAGAAAAGGCAGAGGGAAGTTATGTTATAACAGTAAGAAAGTGACTGAAGCCAAGATACAGGTTAATAACATTGCAGATTCTTCTTTGTATTTTATCAAGAATCTCTAAATACATAGCAGAAACACCAGACCAGATGTGGCAGCAATATCCAATGTATTTGATGTAATGAATATGCATACACCTGGGTTCCCCCTCACAGTAATATGAATGGCTGGTGTCAGCCATAAATACAGACTGATTGACAACGCCTATTGCCTACCACTACGATGAGGCCCCGTCCATTACGGTTACCTGCTAGATTGTTCTACCTGGTTACAGTGTCAACAACCATTTTGCTACTTTGAACAAATATATACCTTTCCAGGACATATCAATATTCAATGTTAATCTCTAAATACATAGCAGAAACACCAGACCAGATATGGCAGCAATATCCAATGCATTCAATGTTAAAATAAAAATATATACCATAAAATATAATAATACTAATAACAATAATAATAATATACTGTAGTAATAGACAATCTTTAGATGTGTACATAAATTAAGCTTTGGGATAAAGGTATGTAAAAAATGAAAATTGTTTTGATACACCCTAATATTTTCACAGAATAAATTTGGAGTAAAATTTTTCCTTCTTTTTATTTATTTAATTTTTTTTGAATCGAACTTATCCCTATTATTTTGCTAAAGAGTTGGCTAAAATTTCCTGGTGATTATAAATTCTTTTTTTTATTATTATCTTCTTATTTCTGGTGGTATTAAAATATCAGAGTTGGTTCCAAGACTAATTCAGAATTATGCACTTGTAATTATTATTAGACATAACCTTTACAACTCAACATTGTAAACACGCATCCAAATCAGACTTTGGACTTCATTTTAAATATACAATTACTGATGAAATGAATTAATGATCAAAATTCAGAAACCTTGAACCTTTTACCACAAATTATTTTAACAAACATTCTCATCTTTTTGTTTCTATTATAACATTCCAATCAAAATGTTTTTTTTTTTATTCTCTTGTTATACTCATTTAAAGATTTAGAAGGTATGTGAATTGATATAATGATCACTGGCTCAGAAAATGGAATGAATTAATTGAGTTTGGATTCCAGCTGAGACAATCACTTTGCAGTCATACCTTTTGGAAAGTCATGAATTCATCTCCCTTTTTAGCTCTAAGTGAAATCATAGGGAAATCTGAGTCCTTTACATTTGTTAAACATTAAGTCTAAGACAATGAGGAATTCAAAAAACAATCATTTTTTTTATACTAAAGTTTATCCTGTACAATGGTCAAGGGTCACTCAAGGTAGAGAGTTACTGTTAAAATGGTTATGATGAATGAGGTGTGTGCTGTGCTATGGATAGAACAGGAAGTGGTAGGAAATGAGGATAGCTAGCAAATAAGCCTTGTCTTGAAGAGG